TTAGTATTCTTTTATATTTTAAAATTAATATTTCGATTCTACCATTAGGAACAAGAAAAATTGAGAAAATCTTTATAATGTGACAGGTGGCAATAGATGGCAGCCGCCAAGAAAATGGGGGCAAGACCGTAAAGCCATCCCACACCAAGGATTTTAAAAAGTTTTATTACCAGAAAGTCTGTGCCATCCTGTACGACCACTAGTTTAAAATTGTCTTTATTTCACGCAAAAATAACTCGGCAACTATTCATATTTTAAAAAATGCGTTGGCTCTCAATTAATATGTAATTTTGAAGAAAAGGTTTTATTGAAAAGAAAAAAAAAACTATATTCAATACTATAGTTGTAGTAATATGCCAACTACAAATTTTGAACTTTTCGAGATTACAAGGAAACCTAGACCTGTACCAAGCCTCCTTTACAGTTTTCAAGAACAAAATTTAATTGCAAAATTTTGAGCCATTTTTTAGAAATTTTGTAAAATGTCCTTGATACTTCATGTAAAGTGCCCCCAAAAATTAAAATATTGACTTCAAATTCAAGGAGCCAAATCTTTTGAGGAGTATCAATTTTGGAGAAAATCCTGTTTGCGGTACAACCGCTAGTGTTATTTACTGACAGATGAACGATAGGACAGACGTTAACATAACTTAATAGAATTATTAAATATTAGTATAATAATTAAAATACAAAGAAATACTATAAGTAAAAGAAATAAATATATTTTTCTTATTAGCCATTGCACTAAGGAGTGAAGGAAAAAAACCTTGTATAGCTCATTCCACTAATAATACATCCATACCACTATAATAAACGATGCCTTTGAGAACAAACTATATTCCAATCAGATATCGACACTTCATTCTCACAGTTCCAATTTGCATTGGTTAGGTTACCAAAATGTTTACCAGTGGGGTACGTCAGATTTCAAAAACGTTAACGAAAATAGAAGACAAAATTCAAGTTAAACACAAAAATGAAGACCTCAATAGAACAAGGGCATATCCCACATTTTTTGGAGAAATTGAGTTATTATACAAAACTTCAAATATTATTCTTTTAGCGTAATATGTTATTTGAATTCAGTGTGGACTTATACGCAAGTCTTCTGTCGTTAAAAGTTTAAAAATGTATTGAGTTATATGAGGGGAATCATACAGGTAAAACCATCATTATGTCAGAATTATGCCTATCTGGGATATCCCCTTGTTCTACTGTGCCCTTCAATTTCAGAACAGTATATTCATCACATTTTGTTGTACTTTTACATACTTTAATCAAACACGTCATTTACCAATTATTCAAATCAACCATAATGTGGTGTATAGGATAAACAAACTAACAAGTGATGTTGAATGAATGTACTAATATTTTGTGAAAGCTAAATAACATTTTTTTGAAATTTTCCGCCGAAGTTTTAACATTCAAGCTTTTAATCATTGAAAACCATTGAATTTAATACATGTTGCTTTTTTATTTGTTTTTCGACAGCAATCCACATATTCCAAACTTTTACGAACATAGAGGGACACACTGTGAATAAAGAATTCAACATAAAATGTGAGGTTTATTATCGCTGACTATTCAAATGGAATCCTTTTTTTCCATTATTCGATATTTTGTGTATTACACTTTCTCGTGTATGAAGTTTAGAGAAAAGTATGTAACCAAAAAATAATTAACACTTGTATCTCTGTAATTAGCAACCCTGTGGTCTCTGTTTCATTCTTGAATCTCTTCCAATTTCTTGGTTGCTGAATCCATTACCATTTATTATCTTTGTGTTTTTCATAACTCTCTAGTAAGTATGTTTCTTTGGATATTAGTAGTTATAATATTTTCGTTTATATTCTAACTTGGGAACATTATCGCCTTAATTAGTACTACAATATTTAGTAATCTAAATTAGACTGATTTTCTACAAACATTTACTATAAAATTTGTCAAAAAAGTAACTAATTTACCGCTACCTCTAATCATATTTGACGTACTTTACAATCAAGCATTGTATCTCGCAGATCCCCAGGACAGACACACGACATCTTGAGGAAGGCAACATCTATACTGAGCATCCCGCGTCAACTGTTCTGAATGGCCCTTTGCTAATTAAACAGTGTTGCAGAGTAACGTTCAGGAATAACAGTGATGCAGAGTTGCAGGTTGCCGTCAAACACCGGCAGCAGATCCCATAGTGGTGGTGCTAAAACAAATAAAAGTGGTGCTAAAACAGCACGTACTTTCTCCCCCGTACTTTCAGGCAAAATTACGCGAACAGTACTCAAATTTTCATGCTTTGGAGAATTAAATTATCATAAATTTTATTTCATGTTTGACGGTTTTTAATTTATAATCCAATATTTCATCAAAAAAAGAATTGATAATAAATATTTATGAAGAATTTCCATAATAATAACTGTTAATGAAGAAGTAAAATTACTATTATATACGATAGCAAAACCAGTACTTGTTAAATAAACGTAAAGAACATACATCGCCACAAGCGAAACGTGAAGGCAATAAACGAAGAAAAAATGTTATCTCTATGGTTGTAATTATACCCTTTTTGAAGTTCAAGCCCATATGGCTACATCATTGACGCACATTTTGTCATTATGAGACTACAAAGTTTCTAAACAGACAACATATGTTAAGTTTGAACGTCAATTAAGAATAATACAGTCACAACCCGGAAGATGTCTGTATCTTGTGGAGATGAAACGTTCTCAAAAGAAATGCCATAGTAATTATCCATTTCTTGAATCCTAACCCCATCACTTTTCACATTATAATTTAGAATACCAACGAAAGAGTGTATAATTCATAGAAATTCATACAACTACAGGAGATGTATATAACTGAGAGCGACAAATAGAAATTAGCTTCCGATAGACGTTTGAACCAGAGTAATTCTGCACAAAATAATGAATGTTCTTAGAGCTCCTACAAAATAAACATGTATTTAGTTTAAACACCAACAAAACAAACATTTGAAATTTAATTAAAATTTTGTATAAACTTCGAACTTTTTTATATTGTATAGGAAATTTAAAACTAAGTTCAAATCAGATTTCACTATGTCGATAATTCCAATCAAATGGGACCTGAACTCTTCCAGATTATTAAATTGTACAGATTTTGGAAAAAAACAATAAAAGAGATGGTAGACTGCTTCAAAGTACGAAATATTGCACAAATTGTTCAAAATCACTCCAGTGATTACAAAAAGCCCATTAAAATAGTAAGATTTTATAGTTAGTATGTTTTCAATTAGAGAAAAACTGTATGCACAATATTGCGTATGCATTGGGTATTATTTTACGTATAAAAGTAAATTAGACCTATGTTCAGTAAAATACAGTCATAAAACACATGTATTATTTAATTTTCTGCAATCAATAATTTTAATAAAATTAATAAGTAGTGTCAGCGCTTTGAAAGAAATATGAACTTATACACTGCACTCACTTCATGTGATTTTTGGTCAGAATCAAATCCGCATTATCGACAATCTTCATTTCTTACATCCAAATTATTGATGGGTAATAACGGTACATAGGATATAGAATACAGGCTCAGTTTGGGATCAGGCAAGGAAAAACATTTAATGAGACCGAATTAGCAACAAAGATGAGAATATTGGAGGTAGGAAGAAGATGAAATAAATAGATTGCTAGCTAGTAAAAATATGGATATTCAGGAGCAGAGTCATGTAGGGAAGGAGTAGAGAGTTTAGTTACAATAATGTACAGAAAATGAGTCTACAGGTTGTGTTATCGAAATATTTAAAAAAGAAAGGAGGAGCAGTCAGTAGAACTACATATAGGTATAGGCCAGGGAATGAGTTAAAAGATGACAAATATCGGTTGGAAAAGAAAGAAAGAAAAGAGAAAGAAAGAGAAAAGAAAGAAAAAAGGCATAATTAGTCGGTTGCAGGAAGAAAATTGGAAATACGTGTTGGAGAGATGTATGAACGGTCAAGGAGAGTGGGGAGTACAAGAGAAAATTAAACGAATTTTCGAGAAGGCTTGGGTTTATGGAGAATTATAGAAGAAGGATAACGAAGCAAAAGATTTGACGTAAAGGTGAATCCGAGTCGAATGTTTGGGTAGAATATACAATTGTAAATAAAAGCGATTGTTACTACTACTTCCGTAACAATGTAAATTTATGTGAATTAAGAAATAATAATAATAATAATAATAATAATAATAATAATAATAATAATAATAAAACCAAGCCAAGAGAGTGCACAGCTCGCTGACTTCACAGTCGGGAGGCCTGGGCTCGATCCCCGGGACGGCCGTACTGTCCGGAGTTTTCGTGGTTTCCCTCGGTCATGCAGGCGACGGTTGGGATGGTTCAAATAGCCCTCGATCACCTCTCACAATCTTCCATATATCCTCTCATATAATTCATAATTCACGGCGTAATAACCTTGTCTTACCAAGGGATTCAGCCGAAAAACTGCTCCCAATAATGACACACGTTAACCCCTCTCCGGAATAGAATGTGACTGGGCTCGAAAGAGAACGTGTAGGTAGTCAGAAAGGGTAGATACTTATTTACTATAATAATAATAATATTATTATTATTATTATTATTATTATTATTATTATTATTATTATTATTATTATTATTATTATTATTATTATTATTATTATTATTATTATTATTATTATTATTATTATTATAAGTCGGTCCAGTGGCGCAGAAGTTAGCGGCAACCGTCGTGCGCCGAGGAGGCTTCACGTTCTAGTCCTGCGTAGACTTGGTCTTATTTGTGATTGTCCCTTCACGCTTCATCATCACCCTCTCATCTCATAATTCACACTTCAAGGCGTTAAACCTTCTCTTAGCCACTGGATGCAGCCGAAAGGCTGATCCAAATAATTCCACACGTTAGTGGCCCATTCGCAAATAATAATAACAATAATAATAATAATAATAATAATAATAATAATAATAATAAAGTAAATTGGTGCACGCGTGGTGCGTGTTACCTGCGCGCGCCGCGTGCGGAGAGCTCCTTTGCGCCGTGTGCGCGCGGCGACTGGGGCCGCGCCGGGGTTCGACTCCTGGGGAGCCGGTTGGGTGCCGCATCCGCGTCGCCTCGCACCGCCGAGGGGAGCAGCCCCGTGCCGCCCCGCGCCGCGCCGTGGACCTGTTGTAACACACGCGCGGGGTGAGCGCCTGCACTTCACCTCAGCACCCGCGAACTCGCATACGGATGGAGCGTTCAGCGGCTCAACTACTTTGCTCGTAGGTCCCGTTACGGAAGTGAATTTGTTTTATGCGTGAAGATGGCGGTTCCTCCCGCTGTTAAATGTGGCGATACGGCGCCGACCTTCACGGCGTGCGGTGGTTCTCTCTCTGTCTCTCTCCCTCTCTCTCCCTCTCTCTCCCTCTCTCTCCCTCTCCCTCCCTCTCTCCCTCTCTCTCCCTCTCTCTCCCTCTCTCTTTCCCTCTCTCTCCCTCTCTCTTTCCCTCTCTCCCTCTCTCTCCCTCTCTCTCTCCCTCTCTCTCCCTCTCTCTTTCCCTCTCTCTCTCCCTCTCTCTCTCCTTCTTTCTCCAGATATCTTCCGCCAGATGGACCTGGTCGTGGCTGGGAAAGCGGTAGCCTCCCGACCGGTCTCTTGACATGAGGTAGTGTGGGGAATGCATGATTGTATGTCTCTCTGACTGTGAATGTGTGTTTGTATGTGTGTGTGTGTAAGTGGAGTGGAGGCAACAAGGTTGAGAAAGAAGAGATCGCTCGCAGGCCATGGCCCCTTTGTAAAGGTACTGCTACCGCCTTCGCATGGTGTAGATTCGAGAAACCGTAGAAAACTATCTACCGACAAAGTGGCTCAGGGCATCAACTGATGTCACTGCAGCGCTTTTGACTGAGAAGTACTAGGGTTTGAGGTGGCAGGATGTTCGGCACTAGCCACATTGCGAAGTCGAATTCAGCCACTTTCTGGTGGAGAATTCTACAGGTCAGCTTCTAAAATCGGTTTCTTTGGGGGGGGGGATAAAATCAGTATATTCTCCGATGTATAGATCGGCGAAACTACGAAAAATTACCGATCTGAGCAGCTGCAGCATACATCAGCGGAAATTCCGGAGCAGTACCCTAACAAATGGGCCATGGGCCGCGTGTGATCTTGCCTTCTCTTTCTTATCATATCCTCACCACTAACTTTCCTCACCCTTTACTCCTACATGCATTACACAACCACACATGTCAGATGACCAGTCGGGAGCTTAGAGCTCGTCCCGGCTGAGGCGGTGCCCCGCTGGTGGGAGATACCTGGTTGTGAAAACCCCATGCAACCCGATGTAGGCTGGTGCCAGATATCGCTGGCTAGCGGGAGAAGATCACTGCGGACTCCCGTGATAAAATATTCACTTACGGGCCTAATGAGCTTAGCAATTGACGTTCCTGGAATCACTAATCAATCAATCAACGAAAAACTATCGATCAGAGCAGGAGACCGCTGGGATTTCCCTTAAAAACATGCACTACACTGTCTAAAAATACATCAAAAAGCGGGTGAATTCGACCCAAATGGGTCGCCAGTGTGGAAAGCCACCATCAGTCAAACTCCAATACTAGGACCTCCGGGTTGCACACATGCAGTGGCACTGGATGTTGTTACAGCCATATCAACTTGTCAAAATGTTCAGCAGAGGTCCAAAACACCTTTGCTTTGTTTGAAGCGCAGAATCTACATTGAGAAACGTTATCAAATGAAGGCATCAAACTGGCATTGCCTTCCACTCTACCACGCACTGATTTCCGGGAGTGAATGTTCATTGTAGAAGACCATGTAATTGTAATGAAATGATCTTTAATTTGCGACTTAATTACATCTCTATTCCACGCACCCCCTTGGAACTAACTGTAAAGCTTTATCGATTGATGCGAAATGGAAGATTGTTGTTTATTGAGATGGCTAAGTCTTCAATAGCTGCTAGTTCAATACGCAATATTCTTGGAAAATACTACGCCTTTAAATTCGTTATCTTAACTGTGAAGCGCGAAGTACGTTCTGTATTTCTGTTTTCTATTTCAGGGTTCCTCAGGCAACCCGGCCTAGAACCACCCAATCTACAGGTGTTTCCTGTTCCTATTGACATGTAATCTACAGTCTCAAGAAGCAACGAATCCAACGTGGAGAAATGGAGCTCCATGACTGTCGTAATTATTTGCAATCTGCCGCATCAAAGTGGAAAAAACATTCTTTCTACTTTATTAATAAAAACGTAAGTAAACCAAAATATAAACCACTTGCCATTTTATTCTTTTATTGTAGTTGCATGTTACAACTGAATCGACGTTGTTTATCTAAATTAGCCTCCGAATATGTTCGTGTTCTCTATTACCTTTACATTTGTATGAAAAGATTACTCCTTACTGCAAAAGAGAGTTAATTTTGAAATATGTACGTTGCTATTTGCATCTTCCCTCATCGAATTCAGACATTAAGCAGCCACATCGCGTAGAAGCTTGTAATACAGTTTAATAAATGTTAGTTTAAGCACGTTCTAATTAATTAAATTTCATATTCTTGTACTCATCTATCGAGTATTTCTCATTACAATTTAATTATGCAGCGTAATATTTAAGTTTTGCAGTTATAGCACTTTACGTTTAAAGTCAATGTAACGTTATAATTTAAACTTACGCACATTTTCCTTGGTTTCTGAAGCATATTAAATATTCTCTTCGTTTATTTTTATGTGAAAATACATTTTAATATTCCAGAATGGATCTGACGATTGTTCCAACAGAGATTATTTTGTAATGAAAAGTGTGTTGGAAATATTGGCAGAAAAGAGATTCGTGACGTTGTGGAGTAATAAAATGTTTGTACGATTATTAGGTTAATTTATTATATTTCTCTTGTTAATGACTGTCTAGAATTTTATATAAAGAGAAAAACTTGTTTATTCTTATTACGAGTATTAACATTCCACAATGAGAAAAAAGTAGTGAAATAAGAATGAAGTTACAATCTAATTCCTTTTGGTTGATACATTATTTGGGGGATGAAGTCAGAATTGACCCTTTATCGTCATTCGCAATTTATTCGATAATATTCTCTTCATTTCGATATTATCTGTTACATACACGCGTCATTCTACACTCCCCTAAACATTGTCTTTTGAATAGAAGCACCGGCATGTGAAATTCTGTTGTGCAATTTTGTGTTAATTTCCAGACACCGTTTTGTGTTGCAACTCGCTTATTATTTATAATTGTTTATTTCCACAAACTTCGCGTCGAGTTGCAGAAACTCTGACGCCAGATACGTAGAAATTTCCACGCTACCGAGTGAGTAACGAATTAAATACACACTACACAAACGACAACGTTCCTCATGACTTTAATTTTCAAGCCAGGTTGAAACTCTCTTACAGTATTTAACAATGGGTTAACTTAAGCGTGCGGCTCAGATTTACATAAATTTGATTTACAAAATATGACACAACGCCCAGTTACCTTCTCGGCGCCCTCGAGGGCGAAATGGTTCAAGTCGTGTGAAATTACCCTTCCGCGGAAAAAAGACCGTGCACGGCTGCCCTGATGACTATTGTCTCTTGGAGGAGCGAGACCCAGCGCAGTTAATGCCCGCTATCATTTCGGAAGAGCAGAAGCGATGCGCCGGCACAAGCACGCTAACAAAGCGAAACAGTGGAATATTCCACTGCGCACGCACCGCACTTGACCCAATTGTCGGCTCCGTTAATGTCAGGCAAATTTCTCTTCATTTCAACTGCACTTGGGTTTCATTTCTCATTTCGAACCTCTGTTCACAAATTAGGTATTAAAATATTTATTTTGAAATAAAAAAGGGCCAGTTTAAATCACTGGAGAATCAATAGTTAATAATGGTAAATACTAGTACACTTATTCTAATGAAATTATAAAAAGTTGAAACAAATATTATACCAAATATACATTTACATTTGACAGATTTTTATATTTGACAGATATAAATTTTAGTTTCATCACAAGATTTTGCAGAAAACTGTGTTAATGATTATCGTCAGTGTAGGTAGAAATTGATGCCGTAAAGAGCGATTTTATGACAAGAAGAAAGAAAGAAACGAAACGAAAGGAGGAAAGTCAGTTGGGAAGAAGTCAGCAGATTCATGCGTTTCACTTTTAATAATGAAATATTTGTTCAATCTTGATGGCTGGAGAATGATTGGTCTTTATTTGTTCTAAATGAAAATGTGTGTTAAATATTTGTTGGTTATATAATATTTTTTTGTTAACAAGGGCGTCAACTGCAGTAGACATTGGTCCCGTTAGTGCAGTCTATATTTTATCTCGGAAAGTGGCAGTGTTCCTCTCGCCTGCGGCACTAACCTACACGTCAACTATAGTGGTTAGCAAGTAAAACTATCGAAAGAATAGTCGATCTCTAGAATTATTCTCCAGAATGCGGCGGAACTCGACGTAGGTACCTACCTACACTAGTTACATAGCTAGGTCGAATTCAGCTGCTATCTGAAGATGAATTCTAGCGGCCAGCTGCTCTGATCGTTAGTTTTCTGTGCTTTCTTCAACCAAAACCAGGCGAATGTCGGAGCAGAACCCTAACAAACAGGCTACGTACCGCGCACGATGTTTCCTTCCTCTGCATTCTTCTATCCTCACCTCTTACTTACGGGAGACCGGGGGGGGGGAACTTGTCCCAACTGGAGCGATGCCCCGGGGGTGGGAGATACCTGGTTGGGGTAAACCCCGCAAGCCGACGGTATGTCGAGGCCGGATCTCCCCCATACAGCGAGAGAAAGATCACTGCCACTTCCCGAGCAAAACATGCACTGCACTTACGGGACTACGCTGGCTAGCTTCTCAGCTAGATCGAATTCAGTCGCTGTCTGCAGAAAAAATCTAGCGGCCGGTTCTTCTGATCGGTAGATTTCCGTAGTTTGTCCGATCAACATCAGACGAATGCCGGAGCAGTACCTTAACAAACGGGCCACGGACCGCGCTATCTTTTCTTCCTCTTCCTTGTCCTATCCTCTCCCCTTACATACCGACTCTTACACTAACATGCACAACACAAGCACACAACCCGAGAGACCGGTCGGGAGCTTAGAGCTTCTCCCGTCTGGGGCGGTGCCTAGCTGGTAGGAGATACCTGTTGGGGAAAACTTCGCTAG